ACATGAGGAAGGGAAATTATTTTGAAGGCTTAACTTATTTATGAAAGAACTTATTGGACATTTGGAAAACAGGATATATGAATAGAAAGAGGTGCTAAAATCTTTGGAGTGTCACTTCATCTSCCTTTCAAAGATTTGGGAATGATGCAAGTCACTGTACCGTAGTGTCTCATTGTTAGCTTCCATAAGAAAATGTTCACTGCATCGGGTGAAAAACGTCTTTCTGCTTTACAACATGGTGCAGAGGTGCTAGCAATTAGATCAAGGCACTTGTGTAGCAATTAGATCAAGGCACTTGCGTTTGTTGTCCTTCTGCAGAGAAAGGGCCAATGTTTTATGCCTTCCAAGAGGGATCTGTCATGGATCCCACTCTTTTTTATTGACAAGTTCCGTAACACTTCACGAATGTAGATTATCCAGGAACATAAGGATATCATTATCATGGTGGATTTGTACACATTAACTASAAATGGGGTGACAACTATAAAGTCAACTTTTGCTATTAATTAATGTGAACAATTATTTGCTTCCTGTCCAGACACACTTAGAAGAATGTTTAAGTTCCTATGGGAAAATGACTATAGAATAACAGATAATATCCTTTTTTTTTTGCATCCTACTGTGCACGACTAGAGTGGCTTCATATAGAGCAATTTAATTGATTTCCATTTTTTTAATAAGTAACTTTTATTCAGAKAATTTAATTATTTCTTTGCCTGCCTGCTCTGCATGTATACAACACAAACACAAGGAAGGAACAGATTTTTTTTTTCTCCAGATGAATGCAAAATCATGGCATTTTTCACCAATCTGTTAATGACTTAAAATAGTAAGGATCTGAGATTATTGTGTTTTCGGCAGACCAAGGGTATGTGTGCATGTGTAAGTGCTTGTTATTTCTCCATATGTTTTATTCTTTGTATTTTTGTCTGGGATGTTTCTGTGTGGAGGAGTTTCTAGTTTACAGTAGCTTAGTTTTACAGCAGCAACAAAATCCTTTGGAAGGACTCTTTTTTTTCCAGGAAGCAAGAGCATGTTTATATGTGCAGTTCAAATTGCTTCTTTCTTCACTTTTTTTTTCTTTCCCCTAGCCTTTGCTTTCTGTGTTTCCATAACAACAGGAAAACTCTTTTTATAGTGCCTTATTATTTTCCAGCAAAATACATGGTTTGTCTCCACTCTCTTCACTCTTTTTTTGGATTGATATTGAAATGAGTACAAATTGGAACMGATAACATAAAGAACAGTTCTCTTYTCTCTCATCATAGAGGGTTAGGAAGGTGTTCATAGATCAGGCTTGCTTCTGACTTGCTGTAATCRTATCTTTTTTTTTCTGGGGAATATGCTTGTGATCTTCACATTTTCAACTGTTTTTATTTATTGTTCTATAGATGTATATCAGAGTAACTCCGTCTTCAGTCAAAGAGCACTGAGAAGGGCTTGCCAGCACTGCTCTGAGCTTCGGTGAGGGTGACTGCTTGGGGAAGATTTGATAAGCTTAGGGACACTGTCTATGGCTTAAGTCATATTCCAAACCGTCAGATAGGCCGTGCCTTTTATCAGTGGCAGATTTCCTCTGATGCACCTTTTGGCAGAGCTTTCTAAATAAAAAGGGCCTTATTTTGTTATTTTTAACCACAGTTGTCAGCTTATAAGCGTTAATTTAATTTTTRTGTGTGTATATATATCTCCAGAGAGATCATTAAGGACATGAAGGATAGYGCACACACATTTTGTGTCTTTTCATTGGTTCCCTCCCCCAAGCTATCCTTTATTGCTATTTCTAGTTACATTTATTTAAAGCATAAAYGTGGTAAAGAGCATTAAATTTATATAGCAACACTGGATTTCAGCCTAGAAATCGTATAGCAATTATGAACAGATTTTTTCCTTATGTTATGYATATCCCTCCTTATTTTGAAATATTTCTCACAAAATTATCAAAGTGTTAAAATGAAAACTTGGTAGTAGATGAAAGAGCCATCTCGTCCCTGTTTTTTGTGGTGCAGATTCAAATATATGAGCAGGTGGRAACATCTGCAAAGTGCAGAAATATTCTTTTGTGCAAAAATCAAGTCCTATTTTGTTTCTAAAGACTGATTTTTGAAAGTTTACTTCTAAAAACTTTATAATAGGCCGCAGTAAATAGGAAGTGATAGACAAAAAAAAAAAAAAAAAAAAAAGCCAGTGATTTTGGAAAGTTACCGGGCAAGATACATGCTGCATATATGTAGGTTATACAAAGAATAGCTACACAATTTATTGTTCACTTCCTTCTCATTTTGGGGTGTAGGGTTGCAAATCACACTGTTAAAATGCAAGCATACAGAAGGCTTTTCGTGTAACAAAGTTCATTGCAAGGTTTCAAAGGATGCAGTTCTTCATTTCACATGGTGTTAAAATGCTTCCTTTCTTGAAGTTCCACAAACTTCTATTTACTTAGATATACTTAGATATTTTGATGCCATTTAAGTTGCTATGTTACTGGAGGCTTCAGTACTGGATGTTGGTACTAATCATTACTCCTCACCCCATTTTATTTGCTCCTTTCACTGGTTTCATTAAGTATCTATAGATGAGGATTGAAAAGATGGGTTGGAGGTCACATCATCCTCGCCAACTTGTAATTATGTCCCTATTATCTCTAAAATCAAGACTGATCTTATTAAGTAAGGAGATTTCCCTCCCACTCCCTTGCGTATGCTAACCTGATTAAGACAAGGTCATTCTCAAATTCTTTAAGTTGCTTGAACTACTTGTTTTTTGTCACACCCTAACAAATATGTTGCTTTCTGGCCTCTGTAAGTAGGTGCCCTAAGAAGTAACGGCTCTGTCTCCTTTGCCTTGCATATTGGCCTGATATCATGAAAATGGATGTAGTTTGCTGCAGTCTCCAGTTTTATTAGTGGCCTTTCAGATTAGCCTTCTCATGGATCCTGGGCCAGAAGTGTGCTGCTTTGTCCTGGCTTCGTTCCAAGGCAGTTTTATCCTCTGTGTTTTTTCATTATTTCCTTACTAACAACAACAAAGCACCTAGGTATGTATGTTCATCAGTCTTGCAGAGTTCAGAGAGTTACTTAGCCACCAGGGCATCCTGGCAGACGCCTCAGTACAATTTCAAGAAATTGGATTTCAATTGCTTCAGACCTCTGCTCTTAATCTTGTTTTGTCTTGTCTTGTTTTGCTCCTCTAGAAAATTGCAGAAAAAAGTATTGTTTGGGGCTATTTTGTCTTTGTTTTCTGTGCTGCCTTATGCATTGTATATTAAGCACATAGGAGCCACCTTTAAGAGGATTCCTATTCCCAGTTCTCCAGCATATGGCTTAAATAGAGGCTCCAAAAGGTCTGCATGAAAGGTCACCCTTCAAAGTACAGATTTCCTGTCCAAGGTGGAAGAGCAACACCAAACCGCTGAAATGTGCTGAGAATTAATGCTGCTTCTCTCTTCTCCAGGAAGCTCTTCAATAAATTAAGTTTAGAACGTGTCAATGGAACTGTTGTCTGCCCCTGGGCTGTACATCTTCTTGACATCTGAGTCACACTCATTATTTTTTTTTCAGGATATAGTATCGTGTCTTAGTGTTGGGCAGTCAGCTAGAAGCAAATTAATAAGAAAAAGGTGGCGGGTTTTGCCTTTTTGTGTCACCAACTGTTGTCTTAAAGAGTAAGTGTCCGTGTTAACACGAAGTGTCCTAAACTGAAACACTGGCAATTTAACTGTAGAGACATGACATTAGTAATTATTGACCAGTGGAGGCAATATGAACAATTCTGTGTTGTTTTACACGTGTTGTAGATGTTGGATGTATTTCCAGTAATTATGTATTTCCAGTTAAAATGAAAATTSAAAGGGAAAAAAAGATGCAGGATCCCGTTCACAAAATGTCCTGACCTCCTSTTTTGCTTTTGAGAAATAAAGCAAGTGTTTTTCACATGATATATGTGCACCGAGCTTATTTGCAATTCTTCCCTCTTCCCCACCATTGGGGTGGGGAATGCATGTATTTGCACATTCCCAACAAAGCGATGGAGTCTATTTGTTATTTCTTTGTGATTTTAGTCGAAAAGTTACAGGCTTTTATGAAAACCAAGTCTGCTACCTGGTGCTCTCTCTTATTGCCAAATTTTAGACAAATTTAGAATGTGAAGGAGATCAAACATCTTCTTTTAAAAGATTCATTTTGTCCTTGTTCCAATGCCAAGTCTGGGGAGAAATGTGCATGTTTGAGAGGAAAGTGAGACTCTCATTGCTTTTATGCAAATTGTTGCTTGATTTTAGGGTTTTGGAGTTTTTGTTTTCTTTTACCAGAGCCTGATGGACCCATGATTTGTGTAATTAATACAAAGCTTAGTTTAAAAAAAAAAAAAGGAAAATAAATTGCTTTTTTCTTATGAGTGAAATTCAGACAGACAAACCCAGCTGTTCCTTTTTAAAATAGCTACAGATGTCCTTAACAGTAAAGGGTCTTCACATGTTGCTATAGTAACAAAAATTCAGTAGAACTTTAAGATTAGATATTGTTGTGTTTTTTCCAAAATTTCTGTTTAAAAAAGCGCCACAATCATGTGCTTAAAAAAAAGAAAAGAAAAAAAACCACTCAAGTTCATTAGGAAAAAATGGAGTAATTAATTTCAACTTGTGGGTTGTGTCTACCATTTCCGTGTTACTGGAAGTATCATGTGACTTATAAAATCTCTTATCCAGTATCAGTTTAATATGCTTCATGTTACCTGCATTATATTTTTCATTGTTCTTCATGTTGGACGTTTGTTAAGTTTTGCATTTTATAACTTCCCTTGAAGCTATAATATGATGTTTTCCAAGGAAGTAGTTGTTTTGATGTTGAAAGCCTGGAAATGTAATGAGAATTTTATTCAGCTGCTTTGTTTTCTAGTCTTCTGCCTTGAAAACATACATATTTCTCCTGTGATTAATGAATTTCTTCAGTAAGTATCAAATTGCCCCGTTCTTTGTTTTGCAGCAGTTTCTGCATCTTGCACCATTTGCATTCTGTGCATTGGGCTTTGGTTCTCTCTACTAAATTCAGGATTGATAATCGTAAGGCAAATATTTCATCAGAATAACTTATCATTTGGGGTCTTTCTTATCTTTATTGCCATATCTGCCTCTCAAAACAGAACTAACTTGAATGCAAATCATTATTCTTTTTATGCTACTAAAATTTGCTTCTCTTGACCTTTTTTCCTCTTCCTTTGACTAACAGTTTAAATATTTAAATCACAGGTTCTTTGGGTCAGGAAGCCTATTCTGTTATGCACGATAGATGTCATTTCCACTGGAAATGATTCCACTGGAATACAAGAAATGGCAATGCAGATGCTAAACACTCTAGTATGCACAGWAATATCCTGGTGTTTTCTTGAGGGACTAGAGGGGAGCATTGGTGGTAAGCAAGCCCTTCGGTGCAGTCAGGTAACGACCAGCCATTGCTTTGTGCTTCTGCCACTTCTTTATTCTGCTGGGTCTGTGTATTCTGCCTATCTCCGTTACTTTGTATGCACTTTCACTGCTGTGGAAGTGACTAGAATGTTCTTGAAAGGGATTCTATGGTTGGGGTACTAGTCACTAGTTTGTTGTCACAGTAATTTGATTTCCTGTCTATATCATGGGCACATAAAGATGAGAGCATGCTCTTTCTCTGGTTGAAGTTGCTAAAAAGTTTAACTTACCTCTTGCATTCCATCCTTACAGTGTATTTACTTTTTCAGGACTTTGGCTTCAAATGACTGAATTTGATGCTGTTTTACATTAGAACAAACTGTTAAAAATAACAGATAATTCTTGATTTGGTGTTGACCTTACTGTTAAATAAATAAAAASAAATAGATAAAAAGTTCTAGGCCCGCTGAGCTGTTGCAAAAAGGAGGATGGAAATGCATGGGTAAAAATGGAGAGAATAAGGGAAGGCGGTATATAAATGCACAGGAAGTTCTACTTCTTGAATAGTCAACTTTGTAAATGACATGCAGTCATGTTAAGCATAGGTGCATAGAGAAAATAGCATAACATGCAAAAGGATTGCACTGAAAAGACCCATGATGAGTACTGAAGTGAAATAATTAGGTTGGCATGGGTATAGCTTTCCAGGAGACCTCTTCTGTCCTCTGCTAACAAATTTTTTTTTCCTCCAGAATTTTTACTAGTTTCTATGCTCTTCATCAAATATTCATGAACAGCATGGATTTTTCTTTTTAAATTTTAAAGTCCCAAACCTACTTAATGATTTCTTGTTTCTCCAAGTATGCAGGAAACTTGCATAAGGACAGAAAACCATGACTAACTTGAGAGGTTTCCATGAGTGTCTGATCTAATCTACATTGCATTTGTCCATCAGATACTTATCCCTGGCCTATAATTAAAATACCATCCTATCTGAAAAATACACCTGATGGTATGAAATTATATTTTCAACTCAGGTTGTCATATTCATTGAGGGGACCTTGCCCAACACTTAGTAAAAGATCTAAATGGATGTGAGATTTTTCAGTGTGACTCTTGTGGACTGAGTATCTGTCTTTTCATTATTCAAAATCAAGATTTTTTTAAAAATAAGTTGACCTGTTTTATGATAAAAATGCCTGTGAGTATAATTAAATTGAATTCTGTGCTTAAAGTGACCCTCTGATTCATGGGCATTTGCAGTACAAAGAACAAAAATAAAATTAAAGACTTATCTGAAAGATACAGTAATTAAGTCTCTCAGTTTTGATTATTATCTGCTGTGATGAGAACAGTGGAAAGGCAAAAGGATATTGCTCAAGCAAAAGGCTTCTAGCAAAATATAATGTAGCTATAAGGATCTTTCTGCATGGAAGAGGTTTCTTTAGATATATATATATATTTTTTTTTTTGAATTGGGTAGACCAACTTCATAGGAACTGAAATCACTACAAAATGGCAATACTGGTAGCGCCTGTTTTTGTAGMGTGTTGGCTTCTCTTTCCATAGGTGTTCAATGAGAACTTGAGCTGAGGAGGCTCTAGACCTGAGAATATGACATATTCTTCGGAGGAAGTCAGTATATTGTTTYGTGCCTGTTGTGAATGATGAAGCCATGGGGACGAGTTCTGATCCTACAAGCAAGCCTTCCCCTGGTTTTGGACTAAGGACCTGATTATAGTTTTTCATCTGTTATGTAAACTTCGATTGATTTCAGTGAAAGWTAGGACATGCAAACGTCTTTGTGACCAATCTTTAAATTCTGTGGCCAGAAGACACACAGTTATGTAGGGCAGCCACAGGAGGGGTACCCAACACCGCACAGTGTTCCTGCAGGTTACCTTACGAGGTTGATTAATAAGGGCTATGCTCTGGGGATCCTGTGTCTCTTGAATTACCCTCTTTCCTTTTAAGGAAAAGAGGTAAGAGAAATTTCACATGTCTTTAATAGAAGAGAAAGAAACATAGAAAATAGGGCTGAAGAAACTCAGGAGGTCATTCAGTTCATCTTTCTCCCTCAAGGCAGAACTAGCTATATCTAAATCATATCCAGTTAGTACTTTCCTGACCTGCTCTCTGATTTTTTGGTAGTGGAGATACCACAGCCTCCTTAGGCAGTCCTCTATTCCAAGTCTTGATGATTTTAGTTACAGGTGGAAGCTTTTTGTTACTGCCTATTCTAAATCTCAAATTTAGAGAGTATTTCAAATATGAAATACTGTTTTCTTCTTTAAAAAGGAACAGACAAATTATTTTCTCAATATTATTTGTTCCTTTTTTATGCAGAAAACAGTATGTCTTCATCTACTTTACCCTTTTGCATATGAGCTATCATGTTTCCTTATGTGCCATCATTTCTCCAGAGGTCATATGCTCTAAACTTTTCCATTGTTCTTCTCCGGCATTCATATTTTTAATGAAGATCTCTTTTACCACAGTTGCAGTGGTTTGTGCATCCTCTGATTGGAGAAAAAGAAATCAGAAAAGAGGCCCTGCTCCTCGAGTTCAGCAGGGACTAGAGAATGGCACCACTTGGGTATTCCTTTGCAGTGTAACCGCTGCCTTTGCGAGGCATTTCATTTGCAGAATATACAGGATACTAAGCAGCCCRTGAGCGTGTGCAGCCCTGGAATTCACTTGGGGGGCTCTGCTGATGTCATTAGCTTGCGAGAGGTAGCAGAGGCCCAGAAGTGAACTGAGGCGTGTATGCGTCTTTGGCCATCTGCTGTTTTTTAGCACAGCCTTCCACTTTTTTTGATATTTTGATCTTACAATATAACAGCAACCCCTGTGAGAGGAAATAGTTTATCCTTGCAGGCTGTTTTGAAGAAAATCTTGAGAGGTTCTCTCTGTTTATCATCCAGTCTTCAGACTTGGAAAACACAAACTACAGGTGTGGTCAGATGAGTCAGCTTAGGATCGGTAGGAGGGGAAAGATATGGGACCGTGAGGGATGAGAAAATATTCATGTCTGATACCTATCTGCCACCTTGGTTCCATATCAAAGGCGTGGGGAGRGGGTACAGAAGTATTTGTTGTCCTGGCTTAATGCTGCTCGCCATTTATTTCTGCTGCTGATCTTTCTCACTATTTTGCTTTAATGAATCCCAGAGAATAGCTACAATGAAAGACAAATTCTTACTAACTTGAAATAAAATATTTCCATATGTTAATCTCTCTAAKGAAGGAAGTGCCTTAGTTATATCTTTTAAAAACGTTTTAAATTATTACTGTAGTAGGAAGCATACAAAGTAATCTCAATTATTCTATTCAAAAATGTACTTTTTTTGGCTAGTGTTTTTGCTAAGTAAGCTAATCTTGGAAATGTCCAAAACTGATTAGTTTAGATTTTATTTGTCTTATTAAATCTTCTCTTTCCTTGCAGACTTCCTATAACCGTTGCTGAACTTTCAAGAAAAGCTTGGATCACTTATGTGTTAAAATCAGTAAGATTTGCAGTTTACAGTTGGCATCCCGTTAAAATCAGCATAGGTGCTGGAAAGRGCACCTATATTTCTCCTTTCTTCCATAGGGAACCCCTTTTCACTTGTATCTTGGGCTATGATGGCCTGCTGTGATGCAGACTAACCAAATCTTCATTGTTTTATTAAAAAAAAAAAAGGGGGGATAAGACAGATGCGGCAACCTTTTTTTTTTTTTTTTTTTTTAAAGATAATTTAATAAACATAGCCCACTGGATCAGAAACCTGAAAAAAATATATACTCTTCTGGGTTTTCTAAATTAAGCTCACTTTTTTCCTAATATAATGTTGACTCATAGATAAAAGGTAGAAGAGACACATGAAGAATTGAGCAATACTGCCTTGTTCTTGACAAACTATGCTAAATAGCCAGAATTAATATAGAACTGTAAACACGGGTCCCGGGCAACTTGCTTTAATTAGATATTTCAGACTTTTCACAGGCTCTCCGGGTGGGTAAGGTAAGGTTCTGGCTCTGCCCTCCAGAGCAGAGCTGAAGCCGTTGGCATTTTTTGGTGCTTTGTTTCCCCTTTCTTTGTTTTATGATTGCTTGAGGTTATTACGTCTGTTTTATTGTCATAAGCATTTTTCTTCACCACCATCTAGCCCACGTGGAAGTGCGTGAATGCTAAGGCCTCAGCCTCACTGTGTGTTATTTGGGTATCATTAATCGATTTTACAGCTGTCTTAGGTACCATGAAAAATATAATTCAAATGAATGATTTCAGAAAAAAAACATGACATGGCTGAGTATATCACCTAACCCTGATCAAAAATAAGAGGCAAAATCGTAGAGAGCTTTTGTAAAAGGGTGAGATGTTTTATCACCAGTCCCATTGTTTTATAGCAGAGCTCTAAAATGTTGTACTCATTTAATATCCCTCATCCCTGAGGAGTTCCCATTGCTGCCTTTGAATTTCCCATATTTGATTTTGCTACAGTTTATTAATCTGAATGTGGTTTTTAGTTTTGAAATATGGAAAGCAAAGCTAATAAATAATAAATATATATCTAACTAATAAAAGCAGTGTAGGACTGAACATGCCTCCCTATACACACACAGAAATCTGTGATATTTTAGCCCTGTGAAGCTTTTTCTGGGGATTTCTCCCCTTAAGTACTGAAGGGAAGACTTGAGCTCAGTTACACAAGGTCATTCATGTTGCTTTGTGGAATTTTCATCATCTTCAGCTCATGCCAAATCAAACCCCCTAACTTTTTGTTCCCGGTGACTTCAGAAAAGATCAGGACCTATATTTCTCTTCCAACACCCCTGTAGTTTTCCATCTGTTTTCTTAGTAATTTTTAGAACAATATTTGTGACTACTGGATGAAGTGAGGGGAATTGTTTTCTACCTTTTCTGTCCGTTATTGGAGGACCTGCCTAACAGTCTATCCCACCTGAGGCACTGACGTTCCTAGTTTATGACCACGGCTCTCATTTTCTCATTTTACTGATATAAGACGAAGGAAAAGAAAGTCCTGAGGCATTGTGGAGGACAGGAGTTGAGAGAAATGAGAGAGATGAACAGTGCACTAAGGTGAAAAAAAAGAATTTTTTGACTAGTTTTCAGAAGATGGTCTGGAAGAACAGCTGGAAAAGACACCTCAGCTTCAGAGTACTTATCCAAAGGTTTAAGATGTAATAAAATTATTTGACAGCTGGATGGATGGTGTCTACAGATTAAATGATTTGCTGAAAGAAGTGTCATTAGTCCGATACAGAACTGGGAACAGTGCTTAGTGTCCTATGCTACATGTTCCCATTTACTACTGCTGTGTTGTTATAACTTAAATCTTGCTTTAACAGTAACTTTCCTTGTACTATCCCTGAGCTCAGCTGGTGTCCCTAATCTTTCTTTTCTTGYGATAATACTATTTTCAATCTAAAAAATTGCTGTTGATCACAGTTGTGTCTTCCTGTTGACTCCATGYATCATTAGAAAGCCCTGGTGTGCCACCTCTAGTTTCCTTTGAAAGGTCGCTGCCCTTGAGGCAATCTTAGTGCTCTCTGGCTCTACTTGTAATGCACTCGGCTGCGATATATTAGCAATCTTCTACAACCAATTCCAAGAAAAATAATTCATTGTTTTTTTGGTATGGATTCAGCATACAAATCTTTTTTTCCTGGTGCTTGCTGATGGTTAGCACCCTTAGCATTCACACACCTCTCGTTATGGTCTGTCTAAATTCTCTCTCTGCTTCCCCTTCTCCTCATCTTCTTTCTCTAAGAAAAAGTTTGGGTTTTGTCCCAGTACTGAATAAAAAGTACATAATTTTAAATAAAAGGGGCTGCTGAAGAGTCAATTAAAGGATCTTTGATTAAATGGAGGCAGCATTTTCATCATAACCAGCTGATAAGTGTACYATGTATGTTGTTTTAGCTCTCCCTAGTAAAATAAAAATGTGATTTAGCTTTATTGCTGATGATGCAACTGGAGAGTGTTATCTTTTCCTGCTATTCTTCCTTTGTTTTACATGCCAAATACTGCTTTGTGGGCTTTTTCATTTGCCTCCCTTATTGCTAACAAGGCTGATAATAGGTCCCTTGTGTTTACTTTGCCTTTCTGTGGATGTTTATGGTTAGCAACTTTGTCACGGCTCGGAAAATACCCTCAGTAGTCTCCATGGTTAGGTCGTGATTGTGGCTCTGTCGCCCTGTACTAACACTAACTGTCTGTATTAACCATGTTTTAGAAAATGAGKTATGTTTGTTCCAATTACTCTGATGTATTCTGTATGAGGAGATATACCTGGCATTTTTGAATGAAAAAGATGCTTAATTCTATGGATAATTTTTCGCYAGAAATGCATTAGCTGCAAATGGAATAGGTAGGGTTGTTGATCTGATAAATATGGGAAATTTTACGTGGCCAGCACTTTAGACAATATAATCATTTCTCTCCAAAAACTCCCTGTTTTTTTAATAATGTTTTGATTTCATATTCTGCCTGTGCATCAGTCACTTTCTGAATATGTATTACCATTGTAATTGATAGTGTGGCTCTTAAGAATCTCACTTAACTGCTGATTATAACAGAGTCGCTGCTCCGTTTGAAGAAGCTTTGAGCCTGCTCATCACTGTGGTGAGTCAGTCCCCACTAGTGTGTTACCTACACACAGTTTCAAACAAGTTCTGTCGTGTTTAAGGAAGATACCTTCTGATCTGAGCGTGTTTTTGCCAAATTCTGAGTTAACCTCCAGATTATGTGTTTTGTTTGCAATTGTTTATTATCTTCCATAAAAATAAAATCAAAACTTTTACACATACATTGTGTGATTCCATATTCCACTTTATGATTAGCTTTAT